TATATATATATATGTATATATATGTATGGCAACTGGCAACAAGGAGTAGGAGGAAGAAAGTGAAGCCAAGTTCTTGAGAACCCTTAATATTTTTATTGTTATTAATAAAGGTTTAGCAGATTGTAACAGTTGTACTTTATTGAATTTGTAATCGCTTATTTGTGGAATACTTGGTGCGGCTCAGACTCTACCTCCTGCGGCCCCGAATGATTTGAGCTTGAGACCCCTGACCTAAACCCAGGCATAACAACCCAGGTCAACAGGTTCCAGGAGCCCCGGGCAAGTTCTTCCACATCACCCGGGCTGATGTAATGCCTCGATCCGCCCCTTGGTCCTGTAGCCATAAAAATTTTAAGCTCCAAATTACAACTTTGATCTAACGCAGACAGAAGTAGCCCTAACAAGCTGCAAATTACAACACTTCGCTAAGCCTATTCAAGGACATCCACATACAACACACCAAAGACAAAGGCAGCCCCTTTCACCGTACCTATGACAAGGACAGCCACATACACAACACACCAAAGACATGGACAGCCCCTTTCACCGTACCAATGACAAGGACAGCCACATACACAACACACCAAGGACATGGACAGCCACATACAACACGCCAAAGACAAAGATAGCCCCATTCACCTTACTAATGACAAGGCAGCCACATACAACACACCAAGGACTGGACAACCACATACAACACACCAAAGACAAGGACAGCCCCATACAACACACCAAGGACATGGACATCCCCATACAACACACCAAAGACAAGGACAGCAACATACAACACACCAAAACATGTCCCATACAACACACCAAAGACATGGACAGCCCCATACAACACACCAAGGACATGGACAGCCCCATATAACACACCAAGGACATGGACAGCCACATACAACACACCAAAGACAAGGACAGCCCCATACAACACACCAAGGGCATGGCCAGCCTGATACAACAAACCAAAGACAAGGGCAGCCCCATACAACACACCAAGGACATGGACAGCCCCATACAACACA